TGGCTGCCAAAGGCGTCTATAGAGGTCTTTTATGTTTTTAACGAGAGTGTCTGGGGGACGATCTGCTAAAGCTTGTCCGTAAATATGGGCTTCTAGACAGAGTATGTAGTAACAAATTGACCCTCTAGGGGGCAGTGCCACTTTTGATGGGAGATGAGCATAGACTGTAGGCAAATAAGAAAAAGGGAACGGTTCTATGAGAGAACATGTCGCCGGTGAGACGCAAGTCCAGGAAGAACGGAATAAGGTAGAAACACATTTTTTTTCCTGATGAAAGAAGAGAGTCTACTCTTTCTTTTGGTGTGTTCGGTGTTTACATAGTCATAGCACAAACTATTTTGTGGCTCTAGAAAAATAAGTCAAAATCCTCAAAAAACTCTGGCAGTATGGGACTCTGTTCTGAAAATGGCTGCCAGTCAATGGGTTAATCATTTATTTTGTAAAATCTTTTATTTTGAAAAATAACCTGATTATCTCGGTTACATCTCGGTCACTTGAGCGCCCAAAATTTTACCTACAAGTTAGAAAAATTTATAAAAAACAGACGTTTCTGGAAAGTTTCTATTCGAAGGGAAAAGGCCCAAAGAAGAGCCGACGACTCCGAAGATAAATTAAGCTTTTAACAGACAAAACCAGGAGTTCTACTGGAAATATGGATCTGTGTTCGGTGTTTACATAGTCATAGCACAAACTATTCTGTGGCTCTAGAAAAATCAGTCAAAATGCTCAAAAAACTCTGGCAGTATGGGACTATCTGTTCTGAAAATGGCTGCCAGTCAGTGAGTTACCACACCTGTTACTGTTCAAACCTTGTAGTTGAAGAACTTGGTGATGTGGGAGAAGAGCTCGAAGCAGAAGTCCAGCTCGATCGGTTCGGAGAGGATGTTAGCGGCCATGCAGCGGCCCGCGTACCAGCCCATCTGCCGCGCCTGCGTCCACAAACGCATCTGAAACGTTACGGCACACCGTTTCAGGACGTGAAGTTTTTCCTTGCCTGTGTCGCCTAGTGCAGTGGTTCTCAAACTTTTTTCAGTGGTGTACCCCCTTAAAAATATATTTTTTGTCAAGTACCCCCTGACACAGGCAAAACATTTTTGGAAGAAAAAAGAGGTACAGTGCTGTAAAATCACTGTCTTATTTATTAAAGCCAAACGTAACCATGGTAACGACAGGTCGTTGACAAGTGCGCTGGGTCCGTGGGTCAAACTAACTTGGCGGGGGGTCCGTTTTATTTTAAAGGATATTGAAACTAAATACTGAATATAAAATGCAGTGCATGAACACACATTTATATTCTATCTAACTTTTTACAGAATAATTTCTCCCAAGACTTATTGTGAGGAGCCTACTGATTTTTAAAATATATTTTGAAAAGCTTCACGTACCCCCTGCAGTACCTCCACGTACCCCCAGGGGTACGCGTACCCCCATTTGAGAATCACTGGCCTAGTGCTTGCTCATGGTGGGAATTGTTGGGTTTCTGTAGTTAACTTCAGAGTAGGTCTGACCTGCTCTGTTTGGAAAGCTGTGAGACAACTGTTGTTGTGATGTGGCGCTATAGAAATGAAATGTAATTGAATTGAATTAATTTTAATTTTGTAATGTCATTGTCTGAACGTGTGTTTGGACTGATTTTGTATTTTGTGATTTTGTGTTGTTTGGTCTTCCTGCCTCAGGACCACAGATGTAAACTAGCAACTATGCTAGAATATGGCTCATTTACAATCTGTATGAGATTGTTCATTAATGTGCACTGTCCTGATTAAATGAATAAATAGATAAACATTAAACGCCCACACGATGCAGGCCTTCTGGTTACATCACATCCGTTACGTATGAATGAGCTTCATGTCACTGAATCAAGAGTTTAAGCTTTTAACACAAAATTCCATATAATATTTTTTTGAGCCTCACATTGATTTCCATTTAATAATAATTCATATTTAAAAAATAATTTGAATAACTACAATCATTCCTCATTCCCAAAATAGTTTAAAAATACATTTTATGTGCATTTAAATGAAAGTTTATGATGAAAAAAAACTGCAAGTGTATTTTTACAGACTTTAACTTAATATTTAAGTAAAACAGAGTCTTAGAAATGTAAACAAATAATTTAAATCGACATTAATCAGTCTGAAAATGTTAAATAAGGTACTTAATCTGCCGCGCCTGCGTCCACAAACGCATCTGAAACGTTACAGCACACGGTGTAAATCTAACAGATATTCCTGCCTTTTCTCCTCATTTTAAACACGTTTCCCAGAGCTTGATATCTGGATTAGATCGGCCAGCAGGAGAAAACCCAGATCCAGACTCCAGATCCCACACGAGCATTAGCAT